CCCCCGACCCCCCCCCCCTCCCGCGCCCCCAGCGCCTGAGTGGGACCCCCGCCCCGTGGCTCTCTGCCCCGAGCCCCCCCGCGTCCCCAGCGCCCCAGAGGGAGCCCCGCCCACTGACCCCCCCGCCACGACCACTTTATTCCGCGTGGCGACGCACACCACCTCCCCCACCTCCCTCCCCGCGTCCCAAGCGCCCCAGTGGGGGCTCCGCCCCGTGCCCCCTTTGCCCCGACAAGTATATTCCGCGTCGCGACGCACACCACCTCCCCCCCCAGCGCCCAGTTGGACCCCGCCCCCGTGGTTCTGCCCCAAGCCCCGCCCAGTGCCCCCCGACCATTGTATTCCGCGTCGCGACGCACACCACCTCCCCCACCCTCCTCCCACCCCCTCGCGTCCCCAGCGCCCCAGTCGGAGCCTGGCCCAATCACCCCAAGCCCCCCGCGTCCCCAGCGCTCCAGAGGGAGCCCCGCCCACAGCCCCCTCCGCCACGAACGTTTTCTTCCGCGTCGCGGCGCACACCACCTCCCCACCTCACCCCCCGCGTCCCCAGCGCCTCAGTCGGCCCGAGCCCAGCCCACTGCCCCCCCCGCCCCGACAACTTTATTCCGCGTCGCGACGCACACCACCTCCCCCCTCGCCGCGTCCCCAGCGTCCCAGTGAAACCCCCGCCCCGTGGCCATCTGCCCCGAGCCGCCCCGCGTCCCCAGCGCCCCAGTGGGATCTCCGCACCGTGCCCCGTCCGCCCCGAGCATTCTATTCCGCGTCGCGACGCACACCACCTCCCCCCCTCCTCTCCGCGCCCCCAGCGCCCCAGTGGACGCCCGCCCCGTGGCCCTCTGCCCCGACAAGTATATTCCGCGTCGCGACGCACACCACCTCACCTCTTCCCCCCCACGTCCCTTGCGCCCCAGCGCCCCAGTGGGACCCCCGCCCCGTACCTCTCCGCCCCGACCACTTTATTCCGCGTCGCGACGCACACCACGTCCCCCCCCCCTCTCCGTGTCCCCAGCGCCCCAGTGGGACCTCCGCCCCGTGCCCCCTCCCCTCCGAGCACCTTATTCCGCGTCGCGACGCACACCACCCCCCCCCCCCACCTGGGATGTGGGCCCCGTTGCCGGGCCCCGGGGGGCGATGTCTTGCCCCCTCGTCCCCCCTCCTCCACCTCCTCCTCCTCGCCCTTCTTTTTTGTGCAAGAGCCATGGCACACGTGCCACTTGTTTGTCCTCTCCCGCCTGTGTTGCCGAATACCTGTGACCTGGGACCAACTTTGAATCTGGGAGGGGGAAGAGGGGGGCGGCGTCAAGGGTTCTGACAGCGCCCCGCGTTCTCACTCATCCTCGACCTCCTCCTCCTCCTGCTCCTCCTCCTCCTCGTTTTCTTCCTCCTCCTCCTCCTCCTCCTCCTCCTCCTCCTCCTCCTCCTCTTCCCGCTTCTCCCTCCTCCCTCCTCCCTCCTCCTCCCCCCCTCTCCTCCCTCCTCCCTGCGTTTCACCCACCCAAAACAGCGCTTCGTGGCCCCATAGGAAGCTCCACCGAAGGCCCCAGTGACACCGCCCGCATGCGTCACCCAAACCCATACCAGCACACCCCTCACACGCTCCGTGGCCCCATAGGGAGTTCCACCGAATGCCGCAGTGGCACCGCCCGCATGCGTCATCACCCGCCCAGTAAGGCGCTTCGTGGCCCCATAAGGAGCTCCACCGAAGGCCCCTGTGACACCGCCCGCATGCGTCACCCACACCCAGTACAGCGCTTAGTGGCCCCATAAGGAGCTCCACCGAAGGCCGCAGTGGCACCGCCCGCGTGCGTCATCCCCCGCCCAGTACAGCGCTTCGTGGCCTCATGGGGAGCCCCACCGAAGGCCCCAGCGGCACAGCCCGCATGCGTCACCCACATCCAGTACAGCGCTTCGTGGCCCCATTCGGGGCCCCACCGACGGCCACAGTGGCACCGCCCGCATGCGCCATCCCCCACCCAGTACAGCGCTTCGTGGCCCCATGGGGAGCTCCATCGAAGGCCGCAGAGGCACCGCCCGCACGCGTCACCCACATTCACTACAACGCTTCGTGGCCCTAAGCCCCCAACGGCACCGCCCGCATGCGACACCCCCCACTCCAGTACAGCGCTTCGTGGCCCCATGGGGAGCCCCACCGAAGGCCCCAGTGACACCGCCCGCATGCATTACCCACACCCAGTACAGCGCTCTGTGGCGAAGACCACAGTGGCCCCGCGCGTCACACCCGCCCAATACAGCGCTTCGTGGCCCCATAGGGAGCTTCACCGAAGGCCCCTGTGACACCGCCCGCATGCGTCATCCCCCACCCAGTACGGGCGCTTCGGGGCCCCATGGGGAACTCCACCGAAGGCCGCAGTGGCACCGCCCGCATGCGTCACCCCCCACCCAGTGCAGCGCTTCGTGGCCCCATAGGGAGCTCCACCGAAGGCCCCAGTGACACCGCCCGCATGCGTCACCCCCACCCATTTCAGCAGCACTTCGTGGCCCCATTGGGAGCTCCACCGCAGCCCTCAGCGGCACCGCCCGCATGCGACATCCCCCACCCCAGTACAACGCTTCGTGGCCCCATGGGGGCCTCCACCGAAGGCCCCAGTGACACCGCCCGCATGCGTCACCCCCATCCATTACAGCGCTTCGTGGCCCCATAAGAAGCTCCACCGACCGCCCCATTGGGACCGTCCGCGGGCGTCACCTCCACCCAGTACAGCGCTTCGTGGCCCCATAGGGAGCTCAACGGGAGGCCCCAGTGGATGCACTCGTATGCGCCACCCCCGCCCAGTGCAGCGCTTCGTGGCCCCATCGGAGCTTCAACGAAGGCCCCAATGGCGGTGTTCGCATGCGTTCCCTCCACCCAGTACAGCGCTTCGAGGCTTCATGGGGAGCTGCACCGAAGGCCTCGGTGATTATACTCGCATGGTTTTCCCCACCCATTTCATTGTTTCGTTGCCCCATAGGGATCTCCACCGACTGCCCCAGTGGCGGCCACCCCACTGCGGCGCACCCCTCACACTTCCCCGTAGCGCGGTCCGCCTAAAGCAGCCGTGGCAGCGCCTACATGGCGGCCCCGCCCCACATCGGTACACCCTTCGCATGCTTCATGGCCCCGTGAGGAGATCACCCGAATGCGATACCCGCAACGACGGTACTCACAACTGCACATGGTTGGGTTCTTCGCCAGGATAATTGTCCCAACCATATTGTGGTGTTGGGCCCTCGTTTTGAAGAGACAGCGCCCCGCGTTCTCCTCCTCCTCCTTCTCCTCCCCCTCCTCCCTCATCCCCCATCTTCCTTGCGTTTCACCCACCTTGGACAACGCTTCGTGGCCCCATAGGGAACCCCACCGAAGGTCCCAGTGCTACCGCCCGCATGCCTCACCCCCACTTCGTACAGCGTTTCATGGCCCTCCTCCCCCTCTTCCCTGCGCTTCACCTATCCAGTACAGCGCTTCGTGACCCCATCGGGAGCCCCACCGAAGGTCCCAGTACTACCGTCCGCATGCGTCCCCCCCCACTCAGTACAGCGTTTCGTGGCCCTCCTCCCCCTCCTCCATGCGTTTCACCCACCCAGTACAGCGCTTCGTGGCCCCATAGGGAACCCCACCGGAAGGTCCGCATACGTTCCGCACACCCAGTACAGCGCTTCGTGGCACCATAGGGAGCCCCACCGATGCCCCCAGCGGGACCGTCCGCATGCGTCCCCCCACTCAAAACAGCGCTTCGTGGCCCCATCGGGAGCTCCACCGAAGCCCCCAATGGGACCGTCCGCATGCGTCCCGAAACACCCAATTCGGGATTTTCACCCACCCAGTACAGCGTTACGTAGCCCTGTAGGGAGCTCCACCGAAGGCCCCAGTGCCACCGTCTGCATGCGTCCCGAACACCCAATGTGGCATGTGGCATTTTCACCCACCCAGTAAAGCGCTTCGTGGCCGAACTCTACCGAAGGCACCAGTGGCACCGTCCGCATGCGCCCTGGAATCTTCATTTGGCATACAGTGGGACCGTCCGCATGCGTCCTGGAAACTTAATTTGGCATTTTCACCCACCCAGTACAGCGCTTCGTGACCCCATAGGGAGCTCCACCGAAGCCCCCAGTGGGACCGTCCGCATGCGCCCCAGAAGCCCTATTTGGCGTTTACACCCGCCCAGTACAGCGCTTCGTGGCCCCATAGGGACCTCCACCGAAGCCCCCAGTGGGACCGTCCGCATGCGTCCCAGAAGTGGAATTTGAAAATTACACCTGCCCAGTACAGCGTTTCGTGGCCCCATAGGGAGCTTCACCGTCCGCATGCGTCCCGGAACCTCCATTGGGCATTTTCACCCACCCAGTACAGCGATCCCCTAGGGAATTTTACCGAAGAAGATACTCACAATTGCGATGCCCACTGCTGCATATCTTTGGGTCCTTCGCCAGGATAACTCGTAATGTGCCCATCTACGGGAGGGAGGGATGGAGTAAGGAGGAGGGACGGAGCAGGAAGGAGGAGGGAGGAGGCAGGAGGGGGACCAGTGAAGGGATGGGGAAGGGGAAACAGAGGGACCCGGTGAACTGTGGTCCATTGGATTGGTTCCCGCGTGTACTCGGCGCTCCTCCCCTCTGCGGACGCCTCCGACCTATAGGCCCTTCGGACCCTCGCAACCAGAGGAGGGGGAGGAGGGGAGAGGAAGAGGAGGGGGGAGGGAGCAGGAGGAGGAGGAGGAGGAGGGGGGAGGGAGCAGGAGGAGGAGGAGGAGAGGAGGAGGAGGAGGAGGTGGAGGAGGAGAGGCAAAAGAGGGAAGGAGGGAGGAGGGAGAGAGAGAGGGAGGGAGGGAGGGAGGGAAGAGGAGGAGGAGGAGGAGGAGGAGGAGGAGGAGGGAAATGAAAAGGGAGGGAGGGAGGGAGGGAGGGAGGAGGAGGAGGAGGAGGAGGAGGACGGAAAGTGGCGGAACGCGGGTCGGTTGGAGGGCGGCGCCCGCGGCGGCGCCTCGGAGGACGAGGAGCTCCGCATGATGATGCAGGGCCTGCGCGGCAGCGGCCTCAACGACAGCGACCGGCAGGCGGAGGGCGTGGAGATGGCGCGCGCCTCCCCCGCGAGCGCTGCCGGCGGGCGAGGAGGGCGGCGGGATCCGAAGCTCCGAGGTTCGAGGCCTCGGGATCCCGAAGCTCGAGATGGCGTTTGGGGCCGTTTTCGTTGGTCCGCTTTCGGATCTCAGGCTTCGAGGGTCTGGGCCGTTCTCGCGGGTCCGCGGCGGGCTTCCAGCCTCGGGGCGCCTTCCAGCAGCTGCGCCTCGCCGGGAGCGCTCCCCCGGGGGTGCCCATAGGTCGTCCCGGGCGGCCACCGGAGAGCCGAGCTGATTCCCTGAGGCCCTAGCTTGCCGATGGGTTGCGGGGATCGGGTTCGGAGTGCGTCGAAAGCGTGGCGGATTCCGGACAAACACACACACACACACACAAAAAAAAACACAAAAGCACAACAAAAACATACGAAAAAAACAAAGCACAAAAACACACAAAAAACAAAGAACACAAAAAGCACACAAACAAACAAAGTGTGTTTTTTTTGTGCTTTTTCCCACGGCCCCTGCCTCCCATCGATTCGGGAGGATCGATGATCTGGCGGGGCAGGGTTCGGATGTTGCCACCGATCAGGTGAGCAGACAGTTTCAGGAACATGCATGCCGCTTCAGGTCTCCAGGACTTCCTAGGGTTCCACACGGGCTGCAGACACGAGGCCCCTGGAACGTCTCCAGATCCAACCGCATCGTGACGTTCTTGTCCTCGTCCTGCCAAGTTGCCATAGAGCAACCCTCGATCGCCGCTCCCAGACCCCCGACGTCATGATTTGTTCATGACGTCGACCCCCAGAGGTCTCGACCCATTCCCCAGGACTCGCTTCTCATCCTGAGTCGTTTTGTTGACGGTCTCGAGGCCCGGTCAGGGCACCCGGAGGCCGAAAATTAGGAAAAACCTCCTGTCATTTCATTGCCTGAGGGGGTCTGGGGTGTTGTAATGTGTGCCATGACGGCAGCTGACCTTTTCTCTCGGCTTCCCGGGGGCCCTTCTTCGGCTCCCCAGGGGCCATGGGACAGACACACTGGCCCAGGTCGAAAGAGAACTGACCCCAGGGTGCAATACCCTGGGGCTAAGTTGCCATAGAGCAGCCCTCGATCGCCGGTGTTGTAATATGTGTTATCCTGGCAGCCTTCTTTGTTGTTCTTTCGGTGTACCGGGGGCCCTTTTCCGGGTCCCCCGGGGCCATGAGACACATTGACCCCCACATTGACCCCATGTCGAAGAAGAACGATCGAATTGCAAACACCGGTTTGATGGTATGTACACCGGTGGAATGGAGCTGTCCCCGGTCAAACCAGTTTATTCCCCAGTTACTGGTTCGAAAACATGAGGACATCTTATTCGTCGCAGAGAGGCATCGTTCAGGCCTCTGGGAGGCTTCTAAAAGGCCTATAAGAGGCCTTTTGAGAGGCTTCTAAGAAGCATCTATGATGCCTCTATGAGGAGGCCTCTACGAGGCTTCCTAGAGGCCTCTGAGAAGTCTTTAAGAAGCCTCTACAAGGCTGCTGAGAAGCCTCTCAGAGGCTTCTTTTTGGCTTCTAAGACGCAGGTTTTTACGAAGCCTCTTCGAGGCTTCTAAGAGACTTCTAAAAGGCTTCTTTGAAGCTTCTTAGAGGCCCCTGAGAAGCTTTTAAAAAGCTTCTAAGAAGAAGCCTCTACGAGGTTTCTGAGAGTCCTCTTAGACGCTTCTACGAAGCTTGCAATATTCCTCTAAGAAGCCTGTACGAGGTTTCTCAGAGGCCTCTTAGAGGCTTCTAAAAGGCTTCTCAGAAGCTTCTGAGAAGCGTCTAAACCTCTCAGAAGAAGCCTCTACGAGGCTTCTGAGAGTCCTCTTAGACGTTTCTACGAAGCTTGTAATAAGCCTCTAAGAGGCCTCTACGAGGTTTCTCCGAGGCCCCTTAGAGGCTTCTAAGAGGCCTCCTACGAAGCTTCTAAAAGGCCGCATAGGGGCTTCCAAAAGGCTTCTAAGAAGCCTCTAAATGGCCTCTAAGAAGCGTCCAAGAAGCTTCTGAGAAGCATATACGTGGCCGTTGCGAGGCTCCTGAGGCCTCTAAGGTGTTCCTAAGAAGCCTATAAGAGGTTTCTCAGAGGCTGTTAAGGAGCATCTACGAGGCCTCTACGGGGCTTCTAACATGGCCTCTAAGAGGCTTTTACGAGGCTCATGACAGGTCTCCTGAGAGGTTTCTACGAGGCTCCAAAGAGGTTTCCTGAGAGGCCTCTACGAGGGTCTTCAAAGGTCTCTTGAGAGGCTCCCGAGAGGTCCTGAGAAGCCTCCGCAAGGCTCCTGAGAGGTCTCCGCGACGTTCCTGAGGGGCCTTTTGCGAGGTTCCTGAGAGGTCTCTGCGAGGTTGTTTTGCGAAGCTCTTGATGGGTGGGGTCTCTGCGAGGCTCCTGAGAGGTCTCTGCGAGGCTCCTGATAGGTCCCTGCGAGGCTCCTGAGGGGCCTCTCCGAGCCTCCTGAGAGGTCTCTGCGAAGCTCCTGAGAAGTCTTTGCGAGGCTCCTGATAAGCCTCTTTGAGGCTCCTGAGAGGCCTTTGGGAGGTTCCTGAGAGGTCCCTACGAGGCCCCAGGGTTTCTCAGTGCTCGGTTCCTCTGGGTCCCTTCGGAGTCCTCAGGGTCCCTGAGTATTCGCTCGCAGTTGAAAGCCCCGCTTTATCATATTGTGGCGTTCTGTCTGAGTGAAACTTGCGGGGCGCTGATGGGGGGGAGGGGGAGGAGGAGGAGGAGGAGGAGGAAGAGGAGGAGGAGGAGGACGAAGAAATTGAGGAGGAGGAGGAAGAGGAGGAGGAGGACGAGGAGGAGGAGGAGGACGGCGAGGAGGAGGAGGAGGAATAAGAGGAGGAGCAGGAGAAGAAGGAGGCTGTCAACGAGGAAGGAGCTGTATACCACGCGGAGGAGGGGGAGGAGGAGTTGCCCGACGCAGCAGCTGCAGAGTTTGTAGTGAGGTGACATTGTAGTGAGGGCGTCCTCTGGCAAGTTTTGTGTGTTATAGATGTATAGATGTATATATATGTATATATATGAATATAGCGCGTGCGTGTTTGAATGTGATTGTACAGGCGTTTGTAGACAGATATACACATCTACCCCGCGTGTTCACATACGTATACATACGTACACATGCATGAACGTATTCATATGCATTTACACACTCACAAACATGCGTCGCATGATGTTGCTTGAGTGGCGTTTATATACGTGGACGGTCTTCGTGTTTTGAACGACGCCCACGTGCTGGAATGATGCGGAACCACAGCAGCTGAACCATTTCGTACCACCCAAGCCGAGCCACTATTACCACCACAATTACAATTGTTTTTCTTATGATTCCTGCTGCTACTACTACTACTACTACTAACAACAACAACAGCAACTACTACTACTACTACTACTACTACTACTACTACTACTACTACGACTACGGCTACTACTACTCCTACGACTGCTATGACTACCACCACGACTACTACTGTTACTACTACTACCACTACTACTACTACTACTACTACTACTACTACTACTACTACTACTACTACTGCTACTACTACTACTACTACTACTACTGCTACGTTTTCTTCTACTACTACTACTACTGCTACTACTACTACTACTACTACTGCTACTACTACTACTACTGCTACTACTACTACTACTTTCGCTACTACTACTACGACTGTTACTACTACTATTACTACTATTACGATTACTACTACTACTACTACTACTGCTACTACTACGACTACTACTACTACTATTATTACTACTGCTGCTACTACTACTGCTACCTCTACTAGTTCTACTACTACTGCGACGACGACTGCGACTACGACTACCAGTACCACCGCTACGACTACCATTACTATTACGACTGCTACTACGACGACGACGCCTAGTTCTACTACTACTACGACTACTACTACTACGACTACTACTTCTACTACTACTACTACTACTACTACTACTATTACTACTACTACTACTACTACTACTACTACTACTACTACTACTACGACTACTACTACTACCTACTACTACTACTACTACTACTACTACTACTACTACTACTACTACTACTACTACTATACTACTACTACTACTACTACTTACTACTACTACGACTACTACTACTACTACTACTACTACTACTACTCTACTACTACTACTTACTTACTACTACTACGACTACTACGAGTACTACGACTACTACTACTACTGCTACTACTACGACTACGACTACTACTACACACTATTGCTACTACTTATACTACTACTACTTTACTACTACTACTACTATACTACTACTACTATTACTACGACTACTACTACCACTTACGGCTACTACTTACTACTACTACTACTACTACTACTACTACTACGACTACTACTAACTACTATACTACTTACTACTACTACTACTACGACTACTACTACTACACTACTACTACTACTACTACTACTACTACGACTACTACTACTACTAGTACTACTACTACTACTACTACTACTACTACTACTACTACTACTACTACTACTATCACGACTGATACGACTAGTATTAATACTACTACCACTACTACTACTGCTACTACTACGACTACTACTGGTACTACTACTATTTCTACTACTGCTACTAGTACTACTACTACTACTACTACGACGGATGCTTTCCTTCGGGAGAGCGGCGGTGACAACTACGCATGGCCAGTCCACGATTGGTGCTCCACCGGCTTTCAGGCCTTGGATTCCTTATCCAAGGGGTCCTTCCCCAATACCTTCCCTGTACAGTCGTAGGTGGACCCTGCCAAATCAAGGCTACCGTGGTGTCCTGTGTTTGGCGGCCAGTGCTTTCTACATTCCTACGGCAGTGTGGCCTTCGGAAGGGCCTTGTGTCCTCTCGCGTGCCCTCTCCAGTCAAATTCGATTGTAGTGCATACGACAACAAGGTTCGAAGGACGGTGGGACGTCAATGAGGCTTGGCCAATGATGTCACCGCCGCCCGCGT